ATCAGGGACAGGGAACACCTGGTTGACCTGACAGGCGAATGCTGGCTCTCTGAAGACTTCTCCTCTTTTATATCTTCTTTCAGGCCCGTGTGTCCTAATTGAAATCCTTGTCTCGGACTCTAGAACATCCAAGTTATCCTGCACCCTGGAGTAGTTTTCCTAAAACCAAAATTCACTAGACCATTTCTCTGCTGCCCCCAGAATGAAACCCAACGCCCACTCAGCCTCACAGCATCCCTATCACAGCTTCCAGCTTCTTAGCATAGTTCACGTCTCTCTTTACGAAGTTTTTTCTCCCCACTCTCCAAATAGCAAAGCTTTCTCATCTTTCTAGGCCATATTCAAATGCTACCTTTTCTAGCAAGCCTTTCCTAACACTCTGTCAGAAGTAGCTGCTTCTTTCTTTATACTTCCAAGACTCACTGTTCTTCTATTTGTACCAAATGTACTTGGTCTTGTGTGACATTTAGGCGTTTACATGTCTGTGTCTCACACCAAATCGTGAGCACTCCAAGGGCTGAGACTATGACGTATTCTTCTCTTTTGTAAGTAGGTGCTCAATAAATATTTGTTAAACTGAAAATTGACCATCACCAGATTTCAATCCTAACAATTAAATGATTGGCCTGTGTTTGGATGGCGATGCTTGTACTGTTATAATGAGATGATATCCTTTCATTTAAGCAAAGAGAATGAAAATGCTTTCTCCAAGATCTCCAGTTCTGTACTTACAGCAGCCCATCAACAGTTCTATTTAAAGGTCTTACTCTTTATTTATTCATTTGCTCAACACTTTTTAGGTGCCTGTTCTGAGCCTGGCGCTGTCATAGATACTAGCCAAAGAGAAATAAAACACTACAAAAATTCATTAATTAAAAAAGACATTGTCCTCAAGAGCTTGGTGTTTTATGAGGGAAACAAACACAGAAACAGTGACACGTGCTCCTAAGTGTAGTAAGGAAGACGTGAGTTGGTGTCAGGAGAATGGAAGCGGGATCTCTGATAAACTCTCTCTTCTTCTCAAATAGGTGGTATGGAAGAGTAGGGAGGTCAAGGGTGAGACACGGTCTCAGCTTACTGACCTGCCAATTATTTAATCTTTCAGTCCCCATTTCTTCTGCTAGGAGCTGCATATGGTAAGACCTTTTTATATACTGCAGGTATTACTGTAAAGAACAAAATAGTCTATGTAGAATATATTTTAAACTTTTATAGGACTTCCCTGGTGGCGCAGTGGTTACAAAGCCACCTGCCAATGCAGGGGACGTGGGTTCGAGCCCTGGTCCGGGAAGATCCCACATGCTGTGGAGCAACTAAGCCCGTGCACCACAACTACTGAGCCTGCGCTCTAGAGCCCGCGAGCCATAACTACTGAAGCCCATGCTCTGCAACAAGAGAAGCCACCGCAATGAGAAGCCCACGCACCACAAAGAAGAGTAGCCCCTGCTCGCCGCAACTAGAGAAAAGCCCACGTGCAGCAGCAAAGACCCAACTCAGCCAAAAATAAGTAAATTAATTTTAAAAAGATTTTATAAACTGTAACCATAAATACAAGGATATATTTGTACACCCATAGTCCTAAACCATCCCCTCCTGCCAACTTTCTCACAAATGGTCTTGTCATGTTCTAATTCATCCCAGATCGGAATCTTGAAATCACCTTTGACACCTTCCTCCTCACCCTTCACACCAATGTCACCGAGCCTTGCATCCCAGTCTTCCCTCCTTTTTCCACCTGATCACAGCCTCACTCTGTCCTTGTCATAGCGCTCCACACTTGGACCTTTGTGACAGAGCCTCCTGCTGCCTGCATCTCTCAGTTCCGTTCTTTCTAAAATTCAGATGCCTCTTCCTAAAAGATTGCTTTCTTTGTCATTCCCCTGCACAAATAAATTCAATTTCCCCCTTATTTCTGCAGAGACCAAAGTCCAAACCTTATGGCTTGACATTTAAGGCTTTTGGCCACTTGGTTCTATCTTATTTACCCAAACCTGTAACATTAGCTGGCCTGGGTTTCTCACTGTCTCCTGAATGAACATGCATAAGCCCAAACACACATAACGCATTCTCTTCATTCACTGTGTCCTCGCTTGGTCTCAGGGGAGAGGGTGGGAAGGAGTGGACACACAAATGAAGTTGCGATCCCAGTTCGGGAGGACTTTTCTGTGCTGGGAATGGTCTCGACCCTCCTATGCATCCTTCAAGACCATGCTCGTAGCACATCTTCACGAGGCCTTGCCTGATTTTACCTCCTTCAGAGCACCTATAGGGACTTCCCTGGTGGTCCAGTGGTTAGGAGTCCGCACTTCTGCTGCAGGGGGTTCCGGTTCGATGCCTGTTTGGGGAACTAAAATGCTGCATGCCGTGCAGCCAAAAAAATAAATAAATAAAAATAAACTGAAGAAAAGAACCCCTCCCTTAAAAGAATATAGATGGAAAAAATTAAAAAAAAAAGAACACCGGTAGCACTCACTCATGGTCCTGCTATAAATCAATGCTTTTCAAACGTGAGACACAGCCCCTGAGGTTCTGACCTAGTAGGTGTGGGGAGGGGCCAGAGAAGTTACATTTCTAACTGGCTCTGATGACAAGGGTCTGGGGTCCTCACTTTGAGTACAACTGCTGCAGATTACTTTGTACAAGCACTTATACTTTCACTTCCACACTAAGCTCTTGAGGTAGAAAATGTATTTTCTGTCTCTTTGTGGATCAGTCCCCCCAAACCAGCAACGAATTGCCTGGCATATAGAAAGTGCTCCCCAAGTTTCACTGTTGCTCGTTTACAGTACTGTGCCTTTCACATTCTCATTTGGTGCTTATAACAACCCCACTGGGTCGGGAGAAAGGGCATCCTTCTCGCAGACTGCGTGGCGCAGAATCAAGTCACCACAGAGCACAGACTGGCTGGCGTTGGCTCAGGTATGGAGCCGTAAGCCAACTCATAGGGTGGCTCTAACTGGGGTCTCCCTGCCACTGGCTTCCTGGACTGGTGCTGAACTTGGAGCCCACTTTTCCCTTCTCCTAGGAAGGAGCGGGAAGGAACTGACATTTATTGGGCAATTACTCTCTGCCAGTTTCTGGGCTGGGGGATGTACATATTATCTCAGGGGTCCAGGGAAGTACAGTAATGGGATCCCCCATTTACATGTTTTACGTGTAAAACATGGAGGCTCAGAACACCCAGGTTTTTATGCTTCCTTGCAGAGCACAGAAGAGGCAGGAGTGGCCAGACAAGTAGGAGAAAGTGACTTCACATTTACTGGAGGACAAGTGGGTGTCCAGGTGCATTGTTCTAGGTGCTTTCACCTGCCTAGTCTCCTTAATCCTCACAATCACCTTCCAAAGGAGATCTCATTTCACCCATTTTTAAAGACACGGCAACAGCCTCAGAGAGGTTATATAATTTTCCCAAGGACACACAGCTGGGAAAAGGGAAAGCTGTGGGTTGTGGAGCTGGAATTCCTGGTCTCTCTGACCCCAAAGCCCTTGCTGGTCCCAGAGCCCCGTTCTGTGTCCATGTCACAGGGTCTCTGCACAATTTGCATGGTGCATCAGCAGCAGAAACGGGACTAGGAACCAGGTCCACACAGCCTCCTTCTCCCTGACAACAGCTGGCATCCTGTTGGCTCAGGCTGCTAGAGGCCTGGATTCAGGCTCTGTCCTTACACCGATTCAAGACTGTTTACAGCACATAGGCAAGAGGAGGGGTAAGTGGGGAAGACCAGAGCCTTGGATCAGCTGAGAGGTGGGAGGTAGGCCTGGGTGGCATGGACCTCGGAAGGCTTGCTTCCATCAGGTAATTGGGAAACGGAGGCTTGTTTTCCCCCTAGATCTGGTGTGAGAGCTGTTTAGAAGTCCAGGAAGTGTGGTGGTTCCCTCTGGCCATAGACACCATAGACACACTCCCACCTTCACAGACCCTCCCAAGGACAAGCCTCCCAGACACAGATCAGGGGGAGGGGGGTGGCTCAGAGATGTGCGGGCTCAGATTCAAGGTGACACTCACCAGCACACACAGAGCCATCCTGCCACCCGTGCCCGGGCTCAACCACAGAGGAGGCAAATGCTCACAGAGGGCAGCCACGGCACCCCGCGGAGGGCTGCTCATGGCACACTCCTACCCGGTCGGAGGTACAGAGGGTGAAACCTCCAACCAGCCACCTTGAGTGTACCTTGGAGGATTGTCAGGAAGGATGGGGGGAGCTGGCAGGCAGTGTTTTCTCCGTCGCTGCCATCCCCCACCCCTGAGCACCTATCAGCTTGTGGAGGGAGTCTCATGCTTAGAAGGGGGCTCTGGCTCCTTTGCTCTATGCAGTGTGTGATCTGTCCTTTCGCCAGACTCAGTTCAGTTCCCTCTGGCCAGTACTTGGGAGGCATCAGGTAGGGGAGGCACTGGAGTGCAGGATGCAAAGCTGGGGAGGAAGTAGGGGCAGGGGAAGGCAAGAGTCAGCCCGGGGCTTCTGGAGGTCACGAGGAACTCGGAAACCTTGCTTCGCTGTCCTGTGGCAGCACAGACACGGGGAGAAAAGGGCCGGTCCAACTCCTGCCAGGATTCCTTGGTCCTCAAGATGCTGGGAACCAATGGTCAGAACCCCAGATGCCAAGATTGGGTGACCAAGATCCAGAGCAGTGGGGCTGGGAGACCCAAGCTCGGTCTGGGCTGACACCTGTTCACAGCACCCCTGTGGTTTGGACTCTTCTCCAGGTCAGGCTCCCCCCACTGACAAGTTTCTCTTGCCCCAAATCCTTCCTGAGCCATGTGTGTGTGTAAGACAGAGAGAGAGGGGAGGGCAGACAGAAGCCTGTGAGGGGAAGGGAAGTGGGAAGGGGGGCTTTGGGGCTGACTGCTGCCAGTATGATCCCAGAGGACAGGTTTGGGTGAGGGTCCCTCCAGCCCGCACCGTGCAGCCCATTTTAACAGGAGCCAGCATGCTGCACCCCCAGCCTGTCTCCCCTCGGCTCGTGCAGGAGGGAGGGTAGGGCTGGCCCGACAAGCTTACCGTCTGTGGGGGGCTGCCCACGGTCATCTCCACGTAGTAGCCCTGACCGGACTTGCCCCTCAGGTTGTCCACCATCTCCACAAAGCTGCCCCTCCGGCTGGGCTCCTCGTCGGTCTCCCGGGGCAGCCGCAGCCCCAGGGGGGCGCCCCCCAGCCCGCTTCGCAGGGGCAGCCGGATGCCAGGCTGGGAGCCGTGGGCAGGCAGCACCCCAGAGCCCATCCACAGCAGGAGCCAGGGCAGCGCTTGGGCCATGGTGGGCCCTGGCCTTGGGGCGCTCTGGGCTCACTCCAGTCTGCGACCGTCCCTGTGGCCTGACCCCAACTCTGGGTGCTGGAGGTGGCTTCTCAGGAGAGTGAACGGTGAGACATCAGGGCTCCAGCGCCTGCAGGCCCCTCGGCCAGCCCTGGCTCCGGGCTGTGGGGAGCGGGCAGGAGAGATCCACAGAGAGACAGGAGGGGAGAAGACGGATCCGGAGCCTGGCTACATCTGGCCAGCGGTCCAACCTCAACAGAGGTCCGGGAGAGGCCGGCTCGGGCCCCCCGGGGGGCTGGGCGGGGCGGGCATGGCAGGTCGGAGGCTGCTTTCCTGGTCCTCCCGGCGGGGCGGCAGCAGGGGAAGGGTCAGGGGCTCCGGGCTCCTACAGCTGCGTTTGCAGCTCAGGCCACCATAATCCCGCTCCCAGCTCCCAGGCAGCCTGGGGAGACGGAAAGACTTGTGGCAGCGGCTGTCAAAGCCAAAGGGTTTTCGCTTTTCCCTGGGATCGCTGGGAAGTGTAGTCTTCCCGTGGCAGACAGCCCGGCTTCCGGGGTTGGTGAGGGGTCTGGGATGCCCTCTGCCGAGATGGAGTCCACCCTGCAGGACCCTGGCAGGATGGGAAGGGCCATCGGGATGGAGTGGCGGCAGACCTCTCTTGTTCCGTCAGCCTTTCATTGGGCATTTCTGGAGCACCCACTGTATGCCAGGCACGCTGCCAGGCCCTGGGGCTACAGAGAGAAATAAAATGCATATGCACCGCACAAAATGATGGGGAATTAAGGAGCAGGGATTGGGGGGACGTCTGGGGGGTCTGGGAAGACTCAGCAGGAGGAGGTGGTATTTAATTTGAACCTTAAAGAATGGGTGGAATTTCTAAGAGCAGAGATTTGCGAAGCAAGAGTAAGGGGGATAGAAGGGTATTCTACGCAGCCAAAGGAATAAGCAAGGGCAAAGGGGAAAGTGCAGGGGGCAGTCTGCCTTCACTGGAGCCTGCAATCTGCAGGGAGGTGAGAGCCAGCTGGGGCTTCTCTCAGCTGAATCCTTTTGTGCCTTTGGTGCTCTACCTGCCCTGACCTCCACCCCAGGTTCTGTGAATCTTCAAGCCCATCCAGATTTCTGTGCTGGCAGTGAGCTGATGGTAAATGGCTGTTGTCAGCTTTAAAGTGTTATCACTCCAAGAAGTATCTTTATGTTAATAGGTAAGAGGTTAAAACGAAAAGCTTTAGAGCTAAACTAGCTTGAAGGAGAAAAGACATATGATTATATCAACATATTATTTATCAAATGTGGAAAGCTGTTGTTAAAATTCAGCAGTCCTTCTGATAAAAACCAATGGGGAGGGACTTCCCTGGTGGCGCAGTGGTTAAGATTCTGCCTGCCAATGCAGGGGACGGGGGTTTGAGCCCTGGTCCGGGAAGATCCCACATGCCGCGGAGCAACTAAGCCCGCGAGCTACAGCTACTGAGCCCATGTGCCACAACTACTGAGGCCTGCGTGCCTAGAGCCCGTGCTCCATAACAAGAGAAGCCAACACAATGAGAAGCCCGCACACCGCAACAAAGAGTAGCCCCCGCTCGCTGCAACTAGAGAAAGCCCCGCGCACAGCAAGAAGACCCAATGTAGCCAAAAATAAAACAAAAACAAAAACAAAAAACCCCACGAAAAACCAAGGGGAAACTTCCTAAACAAGATAACAGAAAATCATAGAAAACATAATAGTGACAGGCTAAAGTTAAAGTCAGGCTTAGGAAAGAGAAGGTCATTATCACTACTCTTATCCCACATAGCTTAGATCAGTCTAGTTAACTAATAAGATGAGAAAATGGAGCAAATATTAGAAAGCAAAGGATTATTATTTGCAGATTATATAATATGGATAGAAATATCCTAACCAATACAGTGGTTAGACACAGGTTAAACAATAAAAATCAATAGATCGATATATGTATGGGAATTTTGTGTATATGATAAAGATGGCATTCATATTAGAGGGAAATAGATTTTATTCAATAACTGTTGTTGGGACAACTGGCTACCTTTTGGGAGGAAAGAAAACTAAATCCCTAACTCATCTACAAATAAACTCCAGATAGGTCAAAGAGCTTAACATTAAAAATAAAACTACAGAAAAAAATAGAATATTTAAAAAATCTTATATTGAAGAAGTTCTAACAAAACTCAGAAGATATTTTTAAAAAAATGGACAGGCTTGACTAACATTTTTAAAACTTCTGTAGAATCAGGCTTCCAGTATTCCAATTCTGGTTCTGCCACTTAGTAACTGGGATACCCCATGCTAGTTACTTATTCTTTCTGTGTCTCAATTTTGTCATTTGAGAAAAGGGGATAACAATAGTACCTACTTTGTAATGTAGGAATTAAATGAGATACTCCATGTAAGGCACTTAGAATGGTGTCTAGCACATTGTAAATGCTCAATGAAGGTTAGCTATTAGTGTTATTACCACTACAACTTCTGAGAAAAATGATGTTTACAAAGTTAAAAGATAAGTCACAGACTAGGAGACATTTGTTGCACAATAAAGAGACAAAGGGTAAATGTCTATAATATACAAAGAGCTTTTACAAGTCAATAATGCCCCCCCCCCGCCTGCCACGAACAACTTGGGGAAAAATGAACAAAGAATGTGAACAGGTATTTGACAGAAATTCAAATGGCCAGTAAATATATGAAAAAAGTTCAACTTCATTAATAGCAAAAGAGGGACTTCCCGGGTGGTCCAGTGGCTAAGACTCCACACTCCCAATTCAGGGGGCCCAGGTTCGATCCCTGGTCGGGGAACTAGATCCTGCATGCTGAAACTAAAAGATCCCACATGCCACAACTAAGACCTGGCACAGCCACATAAATAAGTAAATCAATATTTTAAAAAAGTCATTAATAGTGAAAGAACACAATTAAAACAATATTTAGATAACATCATCAGAATTTTTTTTGCCTCTCACATTGGTAATATTTGGTGTTGGTGAAGATGTTGGTTGGACTGTAAATTATTCCATTTTTAGAGAGAAATTTGGCAACGTCTATTAAAATGTAAAAAATGTAAACTCTGAGCAGTGTCACTTCTAGGATCCTATCCAACAAAAATCCAACAGTATTTCAGCATTGTGTACAACATCAAAACTTTGGAAGCAAAAAAAAAAAAAAAATTACCAATAGGGACATGAGACATTCAATCAACTGAGTCTTATGTAACCATTATAAAGAATGGAGTAACTTCTTATGAACTCACCTTGGAAGATGTTTATGACATGTTCAATGAAAAAAGTAAAGGGACTTCCTTGGTGGTCCAGTGGTTAAGACTGTGCTTCCACTGCAGGGAGCACGGGTTCGATCCCCTGGTCGGGGAACTAAGATCCTGCATGCTGCATGGTGCAGGCAAAAAAAAAAAAAAAGAAAGCCTATTGTAGAACAATATGTACATTATGATCTCATTTCTATAAAAATTAAAAAGTATGCACATGTGCATATACATGTATGCATATAAATTTATATCTGCATAAGAATTAAAAAGCCTTCAGCAAAGGTGGGAACCCAAATGTCAACAGTGGTTTCCTCTAAAGTGTGGAATTCCTTCCTTCCTTCTTTTGCTCATTCATTCATTCAGCAAATGCGTTGAATGCCTAATACATGTTAAAGGCTGTTTTAGGCACTGTGGACACAACAATAACTAAAATAAACAGAATCCCTATCTTCATGTAGCTTACATTCTAATGCAGGGAAACAGACAATAAATAAATAAAATACATAGCATTTCAGATGGTGATATGTGCAATGGGGGAAAATAAAGCAGAGAAGGAAGATGGAACGGCAATTTGCAATTTTTTTTAAAATAAACTTACCTATTTATTTGTTTTTGGCCGCATTGGGTCTTCGTTGCTGTGTGTGGGCTTTCTCTAGTTGCGGCCCACGTGCTTCTCATTGCGGTGGCTTCTCTTGCTGCGGAGCACAGGCTCTAGGTACATGGGCTTCAGTAGTTGTGGCTCGCGGGCTCTAGAGTGCAGGTTTAGTAGTTGTGGCACGTGGGCTCAGTAGTTGTGGCGCACGGGCTTAGTTGCTCCGTGGCATGTGGGATCTTCCCGGACCAGGGCTCAAATCCGTGTCCCCTGCATTGGCAGGCAGATTCTTAACCACTGCGCCACCAGGGATGTCCTCCCAGTTTGCAATTTTACATAAGGTGAATTGAAGGTGTAAAAAGAACATTTCACATCTTTTGAAAACAATGGTAGGATTGAGTGTTTGTCTTTCTTATTATGTGGATGGTTTTCTGTATTTTACAAGTAAACAGGATGAAAAGAGAAGAAAAAGTTATAACAGTAAAATTTCTGACCTGGGGGTAGGGCATAATTGAGACTGATTTGGTTTTTTCCTCCCCCATCTTTACAAAATCACCCCTAAATGCTCATTCCTGATGGCAAAAGATAATCTACAATGTGTGAAATTCTCAGTTTCTCTTCCTCACTCATTGGGTATATTAACTGGCATATCAACTGGTGTGTCATTTTTGTTATTTTCCCCCCAAAGACTCGCTTTCTTAATTATGTTTGCCTAAGGGCATTTAAAAATTAGTTTGCATTTCTAAGTACAAGTCTATAGGGAAACCTGATAAAATGCAAATTGCTTATCTGTATGGAGTAACCTCATTAATCCCATAGTAACCCTTATTTTATTAGCTCTCCACATTAGAGAGCAAGGGACCTGAGGAACATGGCAATTAATGTCAACCAGGTTGATTGCAAGTTTTCGGACAGGGGGACAAAATCTGCAAATGGTTTTATGAACCCTGATTTTGTGCAAGGTCTGTGGTGGATGAACTGGTGAGCTCTCAGTGTCCTTCCCGTTCTGCTCCCTTGGCTCCTCTGTGAGACTTTTAAGGTGTGTGGAGAGGAAGGAGGAGCAATGATTTGTCATCTGCAGGCAGAAAAAAGGAAGTACAGGCAGAACTGCCACAGAAGAAACTTGACGTTAAACATGAGGAATACATTCTGGATGTCTGCTTTGGGATCCACGGGAACAGCAGTGTGAGTTCCTCCTCCTGGGATCAGGCCCTCAGTGGTGCTGGGACTAGTTTCAGGACTTAGCAGGAGCCAGACGCGTCCCCACCATGGAGCCTGCCAGGAGCTGCTCCAGGGCTCCATCCTCCTCGCCAAACGACTAACTTTCTTCACTTTTCTGCTCCCCAGTTTTCCCATTAATTTAATGGCCAGAGCTGTCTTTGCCGCTCTTAACTTCTGGAGGTTGAGGACGTGTAAGAGAAAGGAAGATTTGCCCTCGTGCAAACAAAACTAAAGCCTTTTAAATTATATTAGTAGTAACCCTTCTGCCAGGCAGGGTTTGTGGAGGGGCTACACACTGTCATTTTTTCCTTCTTAAATAGACTGTTGGAAAGAGTTATGACAGGGCTTCCCTGGTGGCGGCGCAGTGGTTATGAATCCGCCTGTCAATGCAGGGAGCACGGGTTCGAGCCCTCGTCCGGGAAGATCCCACACGCCGCAGAGCAACTAAGCCCGTGCGCCACAACTACCGAGCCTATGCTCTAGAGCCTGCGAGCCACAACTACTGAAGCCTGCGCGCCTAGAGCCCGTGCTCCACAACGAGAGAAGCCACCGCAATGAGAAGCCCGCGCACCGCAAAAAAGAGTGGCCTCCCGCGCTCAGCAGCTAGAGAAAGCCCGCGTGCAGCTGCGAAGAACCAGTGCAGCCCAAAATTGAATAAATAAATAAATTTAAAAAAGAAATAGTTATGACAGATATTATTATACCCTTCTTGCCTGAGCCCTGCCCTCCGGTAAAAAAGATGGACAGTGGTCTCAACTCCTAAGCGGGTACTAACTGATTTAGTCATAGTAAATGGGAGTCTTTCTTTTGTTTATTAAAGCCTCGGTGGGTTGATTATTGAGCATCAGTATATTATTCACCTGATGTTAATCACGCTACTAAAAACGATGACCAAAAGATTGCCTTAGGTAAGTCACGTTACTGTCGATACTCTGAATGATCCTTTCCTGCCCGGGAAGAAATTCCCCTCATAGCTAAATTCTCTCTCTCTTTTAACCTCTTGCGGAGCCCCATCAACTATACTGGACTACCTCTCCCATCATGCAATGGGAAACGTACACATCGCCTCCGTGATCCGACGGGAACTTTAACCAATCCGATGACAGGGCTCTCATTCGGCGACCTTTTGACTCTGAGTAGAGGCGGGACTCTCAGTTGCTAGGTTCTTACCCTTTCCGGAAGTGGTTATTGGCCGCTGCAGGGCAACACCCCGGCGTCCCTGGAAGCTGGGAGCTCGGGTGGTGCTGCGGTATCTGCGCAGAGCCGGGAGCTAGCGCCCCGGGCCTCCCGGGGTGGGGGACAGGTGAGAACCCCCTGGAGGGAGGGTTGGGTGGCTAGGAAGGGAGGGAAGCGGGAAAGTCGAGGCACGCTCGTGTGCCACCGAGCGGGATGTGCATGAGTGTGGGCGGGAACTGAAGGAAGAAGTGAAGATGGAGCGGCCAGATCAGTGCGCCTCTATCCAAAATCTGAGTGGCGGAAGGGCCTGGGCTGGAGTGCTGGCGGGGCAGTGAGAGCGGGCACTGGGCCACGAGTGTGAGCTGGCAGGGGCGCTCGTTTATTTGTCCTGTTCGGATTTAGTGTGTAAGGCCGGTCTTCTGAACCCTGCTTGAACATTTCTCTCGTGGGGAAGCTTCCCCCCGTGTTCGAGTCGGGGTTGGCCCAACCTTTTGCTGTCTTATGGCCAGCTGGGGAAGTTAGTAAGTTTTTTGTTTTCATTTTTTCCTTTCCTTGCATTGATTCAAAAATCTACCTTCTCCTTGTGGAACCGCGCTCCTCACTTGCCTTCCACGACTCCTCTCTCTCTGGGGTTTCCTAACCCATCCCCCTTCATCAGCCTTTGCAAGCCCTTACTTTCTGTTCACTACACTCCATCTCTGAGCGGCTTCACCCAGAGTTTCAGTTACCATCTATTTAACGGTTACTCCCCAAACTGTGGCTCCCGCCAGACCTCTTTTCTTGAGTCTTGAGCTCCGACTTGCTTACTGATCATCCCAACTGAATGTCGCCCCATCCTTCCCGGTCCCCCAGATCTGCTCCTCCTTTGTAGTTCCTGTCTCAGTGAAGGACTTAACCCATTCACTCAGTCAGCCATGTCTGCACTTGGAATTCATTCATCTATTATAATATATGCAGCAACATTTGTTGGCCGTTCCCTGTATCTAGGCAGTATGCTAGGTGGGGCTATTGGGCAAGGCATAGAAGTGAACTGATAATCACAATATACTGCTTTAAGTGCTCTGATTGTTCTCCTGCCTCTCCCTTACTTGCTGCAGACATCAAGTACTGTTCTTTTGCCTCATAATACACCTGGAATCTGGCCCTTCCTTTCCATTCTCACAGCCACTGACTTAGTTCATAATTTCTTGCTTTTTTTTTTTTTTGGCCACCATGGGGATCTTAGTTCCCCAACTGGGGATCGAACCAGTGCCCACTTCATTGGAAGCACAGAGTCTTAACCACTGGACCGCCAGGGAAGTCCCTAGTTCATAATTTCTTGCCTGTGTTTTCAGGATACCTTTCTAACTGGTCCCTCCGCGTCTTTTCTTGCCCTCCTCCAATTAGTTCTTACACAGCTGTCAGAATCATCTTTCTAAACTACAGATCTGATCAGGCCAGCCTCCTTTGTGAAGTCTTGTGATGGTTACTCATCATGTCAGGATACAGTCTCAGTCCTCCCAAGCCTTTTATTATGTGCTCCTTGCCTTCCATTGTAGATCTCTCTCTTGCCATTGTCCCTTGTGCGCTGGTCACGTCAGAGTGGTTAAGAGCTCAGGGCTTTGGAGTCAGATAGATGTGGGTGCATGCACGTTCTGCTGTGCCATTTACTAGCTGTGAAACCTTGGGCAAGTTTAAAAAACTTTTTGAAACTTGCTGAGCCTCAGTTTTCTCTTTTGAAAAATGGGGATAATAATTTCTACTTAGCAGAGAGGATGAGGTGTGATGATGTATATATAGCATTAGTACAGTTCTTGGAACATAGGAAGCGTTCAGTGAATATAAGCTTTTGTTGTCATCATTAATTCTCTGCACCTGCCGTATACTCTCTTCTGCCTCTTTGCCTTTGTGTAAGCTGTGTCTTCTGCCTTAAATAACCTTACTCCCTTATCCTGGTGAACTCCTGCTTATCCTTCAAGAGCCATCTCCATGGTCCTCTACTCTGCAGTGCTTTTCCTGATCTTCCAAAGTAGGGTTAATTGCCCTTCCTTTGTGTCCTGTCGTATTTTCGGATACTTCCCTTAATGCACTTAACATACTATATCATCATGTATTTACATATTTGGCTTCACAACTAGGTTGAGCTGGAGCGTTACCAGGTTTGTGGCTGTGACAGCACAGTGCCTGACCCATGGTAGGTGTTCAGTAAATGGTTATTGGATGTCTGAATGGCCTTAACTTGTATTCCCTGGTACTAGCTTTGTCCTCTAGAACAATGTAGACTAAGCCCTTTAAATCAGTGAATGGTAATAATAACAACTAACATTTATTGAGGTCTTACTGTGTTTTGAGTATTTTACATGTATTGAGGCATTTAATCCTCACAACCCTTTTAGATAGACATTGTTATTATCCCCATTTTATAGATGAGGAAACTGAGGCAACTTGCCCAGCTGGTAAGTGGCAGAGCTGGGATTCAAAGCCAAGAATGTTCCCAAACCTGTGCTCATTACCACTGCATAATCAACTCTAATGTCTTCCACGTTCTCCTCAATGCCTTCTCCAGTAAATCTTTTCTTTTCTGGTGGTGAACTTTCTTTGTAATTGTTCAAGCAGGGTGGAAGAAATAAATATGCAGGGAACCCTAAGTATGCATATACGTGTGTATGCTCTGTGAGTACGCAGGTGTGCAAAACTTTTTGGCTGTGCCTGTCAAATTAGACCACGTTCACAGTAAGGTAACCATAATGTCGAGAGACTGGGAACCAGTGGCATGTATTGAAGGGAAGGGAGCTGGGAAAACCTGGCTTGGAGTAGTGGTGCCTTGGGTGCCCTTTGTGGGTCCAGAGGGTGGAATAGGGCAAACAGGAGGAAGTTTCTTAGACATAGATTTTTGGCTTACTAAGAGAAAGACCTTTTCATAGTTAAGGATGATCTAACTGTGGAGTTGGCAGTAACATCAGTAATATTGCTAAATTTATTTAACATGTTTTGTGTACCAGGGACTGTGCTAGGCCCTGTACAGGTATATATTATCTCATTTCACCTTCAAACAACCTTTTGATGTAGATTATCATGATTGTTTGAATTAAGCGCATGAGGTTATTGAGACTTAGAGAGGTGAAGTACCTTGCCTAAGTTCACACAGCTGGTAAGTGAGAAAGATGGGATTTAATTCAGGTGTTTCTGGCCCCCAAACTGGTGCTTCAGCCACTGTGCTGTCTGGCACTTAAAGCATAGAGAGGAAAAATTTGGCAAGGGAAGGGCAGTTGGACCAGAGCTCTTATGGGCTTTTTTTGCTTTTGAGATTCTTTGGCTGTATATTAGTGGTTTAGAGCAGTGACCAAGCTCCTACGTTTACTTAGCTTATTTTAGGCTTGGTTGGTAAATGCAGAAGGAGGCAGAGGCATGACCCTCAGAAGCCTGTGGCTTAACAGGAGAGGTGGAACACATTCTCATAAAAAAGGTAATACTGAGAAAAATATGCCTATGAACAAAGGAAAACTGTGTCCTTTGTACCGAGGTAGTTATAAGTAGACAGGAGAGGCCAAGGTTGGCCAGGGAGGGCTTCCTGGAGAAGGTGTATGAGACTTTCCTTTTTTGCTAGATTCTGGGATTGGCAGGAGATGGATGAGGACAGTTGGGTGATCCTTCCTCACAACTCCGTGGCTCACAGTGAGGGTCAGGCCTGGAGGCAAGCACATCTCATCAGGTTTCATCTGATCTGTCGGTAAGTGCCGCATGGAGTACCACGTTGACGGTTCTGAAGCCATGTCTAGGGTGCCAAGATTGACAGTGATGCCCCTCACGGTCTCAGGCTTAGAGGGAAATGTTAGGACGTGTGCCGTGTGTTTCCTGAAGCTGATCTCAGGGCTGCTTTCTTAGATGTCTCATCTTACCCCCGCTCACCCAGGTTATCATCACCTCTCATCTAGATTGGCTCGTGGTTTCCTACCTAATCTCTCTGCAGCCACTCTGATTTTCTTCTTTTCCAATCTGGCCTCCATTCCTGTCTGTATTTCCAGTGGCTGCCTGAGTAATCTTTTCAAAATACGTATCTGGAAAAACCCTTTCCTGATTTCCAGCTCTCTTATTATAAAAGCCAAGTTCTCCACATGGCCCGGCTTCCACCCACCTGCCCAGCATCATCTCCGACTATGCTTCTTCTTGCTTAGTGTTCTTAGCTGTTGAAGGGCCTTTGCACGTGCTGCTGCTTTTGTTAGAACATCTTTTCCTCCTCTTTTTGTATGGTGAATACCTCCTCATTCTTCACTTCTCGGCACAGGCTTCATCCAAGTCAGGCTCTTTTCCTTCAGAGCTCTTACCTCATTTAAAATTATACACTTATCTGTGACTGATTGGTTTGTCTCCCTCCCTCACTAGACTAGCCCCTGGGGAGTAGCAGCTGAATCTGTTTTTAATCACCATTGCATCTCTAGCGCCCAGCAGCAAATAAATACTTCTCGAATGAGTAAATGATCTCTAGTAGCCATTGAACAAATGTGGTTTCTCTTCCACCACCTTCCTTATTCCTGCAATTCCTGCCCTTTTGGCCCTGTCCTTGCCTATATCTTGCCTGAAGCCAGGCAAGGAAAGAAGGTAGACTATAGCCCACCCGTATTTTAATTTTTTTCTGGCAGGTTTGTTTGACATTTGAGTAATCCAGGAATTTAGACTTTCCACATTCTTCCTGACCTTTAAATAGTTAAACATAGACGGTTTAGTAAATGGCTAATTAGGCATTTTGCCGGGAGGACAGAGATTTTACCTGCCCCCTGCTTTCTGGAGATGGGATGTATCTAGGGATAGGTAACATTTTTCAAATGCAGAATTTCTCGAACTCTCTGAGATGGTTGGTACAATGCCTTGTATAGGTCACTGCCTGTTGAATTGAATAACGTACAGCCTGCTGTTCAGGCCACTGCGCTTCCTACCTCCCCAGAGATCCTCTCTCTTTTTCTTTCCCTCTCCTCCCTAACTCAAAGGATGAAAGATTCCGAGGGCTCCTTAAACCTCCAGGCTGTGGCCACATCTCCTGCACTGGTTCTTGGTCCTTTTCTGCTTCGCTTTTTCCGCGTCTGGCCCTAGTCATCTCTGACTGTATGTGTGGAGGCTCAAGCATTATGTCCGCAGGTGTTATAGGTTCTCGGGAGGAGGAAGATTCCCACTTAGGCTTAAGTACTGCAGGGAAGAATGATTCTTTAGCCTTTCTTCCTGAGGCACAAAGGCGCTGCTTGGAGGTGTCGTGGTGGGAATGAGAGGGTGCAGAGCCTGGCTCCCTTGGGTCCAGTGACTGACAAAGGGAACCACCTTTTGTGAGCCCTAAGGCGAGACACCTCCCTTGCTCATCTGTCAGCTGCCAGAGTGCAGACAGGGCCACGGGAATGGTCCCTCAGAGATCCTTTCCGTTTATCAGGGGCCCCTCTCCAGGGATCTTGGAACAGATTCAGAGTCACCAGATCTTGCCGTTTTCTGAGCACTCATTACAGGCTGCATCCCAACCTTCTTTTTGACGATGAGGTCTTTTTTTTTTTTTGCCTTGCCCCAAGGCACGTGGGATCTTAGTTCCCGGACCAGGGATCGAACCCTGTATTGGAAGTGTGGAGTCTTAACCACTGGACCGCCAGGGAAGTCCTGATGATGAGGTCTTTCTGCTCACTTCCTCTGCTATGAGGGCTGTGTCCTGCTTGCTGCCCCAGGTGGAACTGTGACAGTGTCTGAAGAGGTGGCTACAGGAGAGGTCAGGACCTGCTCCTCCAGGCTCCCTTCGGTCACACCGGTGTGGGTGCTACCGCCCGGTTAGGGAGGCATTCTGAAGGGCTGTCCGTGGCAGCCACTTTACAGGGTGACTTGTCCCTGTGTCATCGGGCTTCAGCGTGGGAGCTGCTGTAGGGGAGGGGTGCTGTGACCTGGAGTCCTGAGGTCGTAGGAGTAGGGATGCGAAGGAAGGAGCAATTCTAGAACCGCGCCAGCTTGTCAGTTGAAGAAGGTGGCACCGCCCCGTCCCTGGAGCTAGGAATCTTGGATTCAGGTTGGATTCCTTTCCAGTCTTCCGCCCCCCCGCCCCCCATTCCTGGTCCTATTAAACCTAACATCACAGCATCCCTTGTGTCTGTCCCTTCTTCTCCATTCCCACTGCTTCTGCCCTAGTTTAAGCCCTCATCATCTTTCCCGGGGACTGTAGCCTCCTCAGTGGTTTTCCTGCTGCCAGTCTCTCATTTCTCCAATCTGGCCAGGCCACTCCTGCCAAAGTTCTCATCCTAAAAAAAGGCCACTCTGTGTCACTTTCTTCCACCAAAGCCCGCAGTGGCTCCTCTCTGCTGCAGGGCAGAGTTGAGGCCCTTCAGCGTCATCCACTGAGATCACCATGACCAGACCCAGGCCTGGCTTCCACCCCGGCCCCGGCCATGCGCGCTGGCATCGGCTCCCCAGACCACCTTGCCTGACCTGCTGTTCCCTCTGCCTGGGATTCCTCTCTCCGCTGTCAGAATTCTTGTCAGCCGTCGGTACCCAGCTCCTTGACAAAGCCTTCCTTCATCCCCGCAGTGGGAGTATGTTACTTCTGTGTTAGTACTCCCAGAGCAGGATGTGTTTTTCCCTTCTGCCTTCTACTACTGTTGAAGCTGTGTACGCTGCCTTGCTAGACTGTAAGCTCCCTGAGGGCATTGTTCAAGGTAAACAGGGACACGCAAACAGGGCTATGTGTTGGGACAGCGTGACTGCACCTGGGGTACATTGGTATATGGGTATGTGTGTGCTGCTAGTTATTGTGGTGTCTCACTAGGGTTTTCTAGCAGGGGTCCTAGACTGTTAGTTCTTACTCCTATTTGGGGGGGGGGGTAGAGTATGAAGTCAAACCTTTGAGACATTTGGGTTTCCAGGTCGTTTATGGTCCACAAGAGTATTCAGCAGGGCTTTGGGGGGAGATGTGTCTAAGAACTTTCCAGGGTGCAGAGGCTATAAGGCCTGAGTTCTGAGCCATTGGTCCCACCCTCCGCTCTCCCTGGCTCAGTTGGCCTGCAGGGGCTGGTCTGGCCCAGGTGCTCCATGACCCAGCCCCACCTTTTCCCCTTCTAAGCTGGGGCACTGATTTTCTCTTTGGGTGAGTGGAGTCTCTGGGATCTAGGTGTTCGAGCCCAAACCAGTCATGGCCGGAAGACCCATCCGCATAGGAGACCAGCTTGTTCTGGAGGAAGATTATGATGAGACCTACATGCCCAGTGAGCAAGGTAAGAGGCCTTGGTGTATTTGTAATAGTTCTTTGAGGGCAGTTTTCATGGTTTATTTTTGTTCTTCTGATGCAAAGTATGGTACATGCACAGGGTTGCTCAGTGTATTTGGGTTAGATCAGGGGTTGGCAAACTGTAGCCCACGGGCCTAACTTGGCCTGTTGCTTGCTTTTGTAGCTGAAGTTTTATTAGATAACAGCCATGCTTATTTATGTCTTGTTTATGGCTTCTTTCATGCTATAGGAGCAGTAGTATTGAGTAGTTGTGACAGAGACCATACAACCCACAAAACCTAAAATATTTACTGTCTGGCCCTTTACAGAAAAAGTTTGGTGACCTTGGGTCAGATCAATCATTAACTTTAAATGAAAATATAGTGGAGGATATCATGAAATACAGTATATCCTGAGGCCAGGGGAAACCCAATTTCTTAAGAACAAACTAAAGCTGTGTGTTTTTTTTTAAAAAAATAATAACATTATTAATAACAATAGTAACAAAATTTATTGAGTGCTACTGTGTGCCAGTCTCTCTACTAAGAACTTTTCATGTGTTTCCTTTTCAACCCTCACAGCAACTCTGTGAGTTAGATACTATTATTATCCCCATTTTACAGATGAGGAAACCAAGGCACAGGAAGGTTAAGTAACTTCCCTGTAGTCACACAGTTTACTAATCGGGGCAGCTAGGATCCACACCTAGGTGTTCTAACTCCAGGGCCTACACTTTGAAGCACCATGCTATTTTGGGGCAGTGAAGATTTCTTTGAATTTCTCATGAGTTGTGGACCTGGACACACAAATTTTGCTTATAGTTCAGGTGGTTTGCAAGCCAGTTTTGGGGAAGAACTCTTGCATCTGTAGGAGTCCGTGGATCCCACATTAGGATAGGATAGGATTTGTTATAACATAGGATTTTTGTTTGTTTGCCGTGTAGAAATTTTTAGTCTCTGTGTTAAATTTATCAGTCTGTTCTCATATGGCCCCTGAATTTTGTATCATAGTTAGAAAAGCTTCCCTGCTCTCATGTTGTCCTCAGGTTTGTCCCCACACTGTTCGTGGCATAGCTCATCTTTCACCCACTGGTTGAGTGCCGCCTGTGTGTTTTGGGGTTTACTTTTTCTTCTGTTCCATGGGGCTGTCTGTTCAAACGCCAGAACTGTGCTCTTAACTACTGAGGCTCAGTAATAAATTCTAGTATCTAGTAAGGCTGAAATACCCTCATTCCTCTTCTTTTTTCAAAGTTTTCTTGGTTATCTTATCTGCTTTATCTCCCCATGAACTTTAGAAACACCCTGTCTTTTTCTGGGGAGGGCTCTGTACTGGGGAACTGTTGGTATTTTAGAGAAAATTGTGTTAAATTTATGAATGAGCCTGGGGAGGATTGACATCTCTATGCAGTTAAGTTATGCATCCAGGTCAACCTGGAGGTTCCTATCAAAGAACATCTATTCCTTTCCGTTTGTGTCTTTTTTCTGTTCTTCAGGGGTGACTTAGAAGTTTTCTTCATTTTGGTTTTGCACATTTCTTGCTCAGTTTATTTCTTAAAGATTTTATTCTTTTTGGTTTGCTATTATAAACGGGGTCTAACTTTTTCTAAGGCTATTTATAAAAAACTCTCTTCTGCTCAGTCATGTGCAGACGTCCTAAGCTCGAGCCCCCATTTTCTCTTCCTGGACTTGCAGCAGCTTCCTAATCAGCCTCCTGCTTCTACTCTTGCCCTTCTCCAGTCTGTGCTCCACTTAGCACCAGAGTGATCTTATAGTGTAAAGCAGATCATATCAGGGCTGTGCTTTTCATAATCTTCCGTATAATCTTCCATTATGCTCAGCATAACGCCCTTAGTGGGATGTGCAGGGCTGTGCATGACTCGGCCCTGCCACCCAGCCAGGCTCACCCAGTGCCTCTCTCTCCCTCCCTCTGCTAGGCACATGGTCTTTCTGACGGTCCCCAGACAGGCCAGGCTGCCACATGTCACAGGCCCTTTGAACCTGCTCTTCTGCCTGAGTCCTCTTTCCTCAGTGCTCTGCATAGCTGGCTCCTTTGTTTCCTCCAGGATTTAGTTAAGTGTCCCATTCTGAGAGGTTTTCTGACCACCCTTTGTAAAAGACTGCCCCTCCACCTTGACAAACTTCGTCTCATACCTCACTCACTTCCTTCATTACATTTATCAGAAGCCTTAATTCCTTGCATGTTTATCTGTTGATGTCATTACTGGCTGTTTCTTCTACCAGCATGTAAGCTCCATAAGGACAGAGGGCATTTCCCTCCTAGTCATGGCACATGGTGACTGGCACATAGGAGGCACTCAAACAATACGTGTGAAATTAAGGAACACGTTAGTCCTTGGCTAACCAAATTTCGGCCGGTCCTTTTTGCCTTTCCTAGTCCCCAGGTATGTCATCTTCCAAAGTCCTCCACTGAGATGACCCATAAAGGATATGGTAAAGGGTAGAGGTGAACAGCCAGGTGAAGAGATACATAGGGCGAGGTCCGAGAGGGTCCCAAGTGCAGGAACTTCTGTCCCAGTGGAGCTGGGATGTGCCACCCTCCTTGCACGTGGAAGTGCTGGAAGCTCTCTGAACCCCAGAGTTTAGGGATTTTTATGGAGGCTTCGTCGTGCACGTATGATCGCTTATTAACTCATTTTCCAGCCCCTCTCCAGCGAATGACGGGAGAGGCTGAAAGTTCCAAGCTTCTAATCATGGCTTGGTCTTTCTGGTGGCCAGGCCCCATCCAGGAGCCCACCCAGAGTCGCCTCATTGAGACAGAAGACTCTCCTGTCACTCAGGAAATTCCAAGGGCTTTAGGAACTCTGTGTCAGGAACTGGGACCAAAGACCAAACATTAATAGGAACGGGAGCAGAGACCAATATATAGCTCTCTTATTATCTCCCAAGACTGACTGATTCTTCCTTCTTTGTATCCACCCTCCTCCCACCCCCACCTCTCTTACCTTCCCACCCTCCTACCCCTCCTTGCAGAAATTCTTGAATTTGCCAAAGAGATTGGTATTGATCCCATAGAAGAACCAGAGCTGATGTGGCTGGCACGGGAGGGCATTGTGGCCCCACTGCCTGGGGAGTGGAAACCATGGTGAGTCAGCACGGGCGCCGCCTTCTGGCTTGGCCTTTGAGGTGGAGGGGGCCTGACACCGGAGATCAGCTTTAATCAGCAGCCACCTTTCGAAGCCTGTCCTGCAATGGGCCGTCCCTCTGCTGGGCGACCTGATGCTTTGGGCCTGAGCCCAGGCCGCCGTGATGGTCCCTGGAGGGGCTCAGCAGGGATACCCAGGGTCCCAGGATCTAAGCTGCCGCCCTGCGTCAGCATCCGTTTTGGACACGCGGAGGAGGTGTCATTGTTGTCCTTTGCAGACTGAGATGGGGAGTGACAATACTGGGACCTCCTCAGTGTGTCCAGAGTGGGCGCTGGCACTGGAGAGGTTTGAGTGAGGCTACACGGACTGGCAGCGGTTTCCGTCTCCTTTGACAGCCCAGCCCTGAATTTGTGTGACTTGTGCATGAATGGGTTCCTATTTCCAGTTTCAGTTGGCACTCTGAACTGTGAGAGCAGACCCTCGCTCAGCTTATCTCAGGGGATCAGAGGTTGATGGTGAGGAAACAGACTGGCCGAGGCGGGGCGGCCACCGCCTTCCCCCCGACCCTCCCCATGCCAGGACTCCCACTCCTGGGGGCACTGCTCTGTCCTTACCACCTGCACGGAGCTCTCTCCAGGTGGCCTTCTTACGGTTGGTGCCCCGAGTTTACTTCCTACCGTAGCGGGATTTCCTGTTTCTCCCAAACTAGCCCCCGGATATCTTGGGGTGGGGGGTCATCTTTTCTGCTGGGATTGTGCAATTTTGTGTACAAGGTATAATTATCCTGTTCTTCCCTGAACCACTTAATGCGTTGGCCATACTTCAAAATGACTGCAGTCATAGCTTTACTTATCCTCGCCGCAGGGTCCTAATCCTTCCAGCTTCTCCTCGCATGACGGGCTCCCTGTTCTCTGGATCTTTTAGCCGCCTTTCCTTGGACCTTCTCCAGGTCATGACATCTTTCTTCTACTAAAGCCATCAGCACTGCACCCAGTATTCCAGGTGCTGAGGACTCACGGTTGTGTTTATAGGAAAAGTTTGTAGGATAGTGGCTTCTGTTTGGTTTCCAACATGCACGCTGATAGCCACATTTGCCTTATCATTAATCTCTTTATTCTTTTTTCTTTATGTTTTTTAAATCTGTATATATCTGTGCTGTTCTGCTTTTGGATACATTTTCTAATTAAAAACCACATGAGAAATGTAATCAGAATAATACCTTAATGTGCACATAATAAATAAATGGCTGCAGTGATGTAAAAAGGAAAAAGGGTGATGGAAGGAAGGAACTGTCATCGGCTGTGGCCCAGCTGTGTGCCAGGGTCATGCCAGCGGCCCTCAGGTACCTGCTGGTGGTAGTTAACACTACCTCATCCGGTAAGGAGAGCATGAACTATTTCTCACTTTTTAAAGTAAGTCATTGAAAGTTATGTATATGTGTCTTCTTTCATCCTTACTCCCAGTCCCATGAGTAATTGCTGTTAGTTGGGGAATTCCTTCGAAGTCTGGATTCTCTCTTCTCTTCCTTTAATATGTTTGTCTACCTTTACACCAATACTGTACTGTCTTTTTTTTTTTTTGCAGGTAGAAAAAATCACAAATTTATTACGTACATACATAGACATGTATAAAAATACAGGCAGATACAAACAGAGATCTTACAGCTTTGCTTTTAAATTTTAGCCATGAGACAGGAATGATAATGCAAAACTCACTAGTTTATAAAGAACAGTTGGATACAAATTGTGTTTCTGGTGAATGGTATTAGTTAAGGTGACTTGCTCAGATGGCTTAAACTTTTTACTAATATCTGCGTGAGAGATTTTAAGGTTTTTCATAGGCCAAGTTTTTAAAATACGCTTTCCTTTTTTTTTCCTACTTCTTTTTTTTTTTGTCTTTATACTTTTAATTGGTATTTTTTGAATAACATAATTTAAGTTTTAATGATGTCCAGTTTATCGACTTTTCAAATATGATTAATGCTTTGTGTCCTGTTTAAGAAATGTTTGCCTATTCCAAAGTCATGAAGATATTCTGTGTCTTGTTTTTTTTTTCCCCCCACAACTCACACCCAGACACTGTATTTTATTTTTACAAGAGATAAATAAACTGACACCAAGCATTGTAAATGGATGACCACAACAAAAGCAACAATGATTGCAATTACCAAACACGAAACACACTCATACTATGTCATAATATTGACATTCAGTCCAGGAATCCTCCACTGTAACAGCTCCTTTACTTTGCAGTGAAAATTGATTTGTATATTTTTTGCCTCTGAGTCCTTGTGGGATTTTGTTTTTTTATTCAAACAGAAAGTCACAAAAATTATAATCGTCCTCATCAGTTCACTCAGTCCCATGTAATTAATTTTTTTTATCTTGATCTTTTGTTAGCACTTTTATGAATTCATCAGTTTTCCATTAGAGTTCTGAAAATGCTTACTCATTCAGTTCAGCAGTATAGTCACTTACCAGAAACCTGTACTTGTCAGAGTATTTTCCATGAATTCCTTGAAGATGAAACCCTTTTATAGGAACATTGTTGCGAAAGCATCAGAGTACACCCAGAACTGTCTGTAAATGAAAAGACTTAAAAATGACCACGGTTAAAGATTTGATGAAAGTTCATAATAATGCAATTGACAAGGAAATTTAGTTACTTCTGAGATATACATTTTAAAGTAATAACTAGAATTATGACTTATAACATTATACCAGAACATATAAGATTTTTAGAAATTTCATGTAATGTCTGAAACATTTATATTAACGTATTTCCATACAGATAACCCAAAGAAAGTTTAGTTTTAGTTGTTTTTTTGTTTGTTTTTTTATACTGCTGGTTCTTATTAGTCATCAGTTTTATACACGTCAGTGTATATGTGTCAGTCCCAATTGCCCAATTCATCACACCACCATCCCCACCCCACCGTGGTTTTCCCCCCTTGGTGTCCATATGTTTGTGCTCTACATCTGTGTCTCAACTTCTGCCCTGCAAACTGGTTCATCTGTACCATTTTTCTAGGTTCCACATACATGCGTCTCTTTCTGACTTACTTCACTCTGTATGACAGTCTCTAGATCCATCCACATCTTGATAAATGACTCAATTTCGTTCCTTTTTATGGCTGAGTAATATTCCATTGTATATATGTACCACAACTTCTTTATCCATTCGTCTGTCGATGGGCATTTAGGTTGCTTCCATGACCTGGCTATTGTAAACAGTGCTGCAATGAACATTGGGGTGCATGTGTCTTTTTGAATTATGGTTTTCTCAGGGTATATGCCAAGTAGTGGGATTGCTGGGTCATATGGTAATTCTATTTTTAGTTTTTTAAGGAACCTCCATACTGTTCTCCATAGTGGCTGTATCAATTTACATTCCCACCAGCAGTGCAGGAGGGCTCCCTTTTCTCCACACCCTCTCCAGCACTTATTGTTTGTAGATTTTTCTCCTGACACCCATTCTAACTGGTGTGAGGTGATACCTCATTGTAGTTTTGATTTGCATTTCTCTAATAATTAGTGATGTTGAGCAGCTTTTCATGTGCTTCTTGGCCATCTGTATGTCTCCTTTGGAGAAATGTCTGTTTAGGTCTCCTGCCCATTTTTGGATTGGGTTGTTTGTTTCTTTAATATTGAGCTGCATGAGCTGTTTATATATTTTGGAGATTAATCCTTTGTCCGTTGATTTGTTTGCGAATATTTTCTCCTATTCTGAGGGTTGTCTTTTCATCTTGTTTATGGTTTCGTTTGCTGTGCAAAAGCTTTAGAGTTTCATTAGATCCCATTTGTTTATTTTTGTTTTTATTTCCATTACTCTAGGAGGTGGATCAAAAAAGATCTTGCTGTGATTTATGTCAGAGTGTTTTTCCTATGCTTTCCTCTAAGAGTTTTATAGTGTCCGGTCGTACATTTAGGTCTCGAATCCATTTTGAGTTTATTTTTCTGTATGGTGTTAGGGAGTGTTCTAATTTCATTCTTTTACATGTAGCTGTCCAGTTTTCTCAGCACCACTTATTGAAGAGACTGTCTTTTCTCCATTGTATATCTTTGCCTCCTTTGTCAGAGATTAGTTGACCATAGGTGTGTGGGTTTATCTCTGGGCTTTCTATCCTGTTCTATTGATCTGTGTTTCTGTTTTTGTGCCAGTACCACATTGTCTTGATTACTGTAGCTTTGTAGTATAGTCTGAAGTCAGGGAGTCTGATTCCTCCAGCTCTGTTTTTTCCCTCAAGACTGCTTTGGCTATTCGGGGTCTTTTGTGTCTCCATACAAATTTTGAGATGATTTGTTCTAGTTCCTTAAAAAATGCCATTGGTAATTTGATAGGGATTGCATTGAATCTGTAGATTGCTTTGGGTAGTAGAGTCATTTTCACAATATTGATTCTTCCAATCCAAGAACATGGTATACCTCTCCATCTGTTGGTATCATCTTTAATTTCTTTCATCAGTGTCTTATAGTTTTCTGCATACAGGTCTTTTGTTTCCCTAGGTAGGTTTATTCCTAGGTATTTTATTCTTTTTGTTGCAATGGTAAATGGGAGTGTTTCCATAATTTATTTTTCAGATTTTTCATTAGTGTATAGGAATGCAAGAGGTTTCTGTGCCTTAATTTTGTATCTTGCAACTTTACCAAATTCATTGATTAGCTCTAGAGTTTTCTGGTGGCACTTTTAGGATTCTCTATGTATAGTATCATGTCTTCTGCAAACACTGACAGTTTTACTTCTTCTTTTCCAGTCTGTATTCCTTTTATTTCTTTTTCTTCTCTGATTGCAGTGGCTGGGACTTCCAAAACTATGTTGAATAATAGTGGTGAGAGTGGACATCCTTGTCTTGTTCTTCATCTTAGAGGAAATGGTTTCAGTTTTTCACCATTGAGAATGTTTGCTGTGGGTTTGTCATATATGGCCTTTATTATGTTGAGGTAGGTTCCCTCTATGCCCACTTTCTGGAGAGTTTTTTTTTTATCATAAATGGGTGTTG